AGGAGAAACAGACTTGAGCTCTGTTGAACATAACACATTGTTGGGGAAGAGGGAGGGTCTGGACCTGGGCTAGAAGAGGGCTGGAGGATTGAGCTCACTCTCCATTGCTGGTCTTTTCTCCCTTGGCCAGTGTTCCAGACAGTGTCAGGTGATCAAGAAAGGAAGAGGAGGACTGGGTGGAAGGATGGTGCAGTCTTAGATGGGTGTGAGGGAGGGGAGAGGAAGGAGGAATGTGGAGCTGTGGCTACCCACTGGGAGGAATGTGGAGCTGTGGCTACCCACTGGGGAAGGCTGCACATGAGGTGTGAGTACCTCATCTCTTTGTAATGAACACTCCTTTTACATTTGACCTTAGAAATGTGTCCACTGCTTATGGAGGTATGGACGTGACAGAGCAGAGTGCTGCAGTCACAAGGCAGGCTAACACTAGGTAGATGGTTGACACATGGTGCTTAGACCACCAATAACTTGTATTGATAACATCTTTTATGCTAAAATCCATAAAGGATATAAATAGCAAATTATACAAATGTCAAGATTGAATTTGTGTCTTGAAAGTTGGGAGTTACCTATGGTGTCTATTTTAGGAGTAGTGTATTATAAATTGATTTTTTTTTTCCTTTGCCCTGCAAAGTATAATGCCTTAGCAAATATGTTTTCTAGTCATGTGAAAGAAAAGTATTGTCACAGATGTCTGACATATAAGAAAATATTTAAGCATTTTTAGTACTTTTCCAAACTTTGATAGACTTCCATGAGCTTTAGAAAGCCATGTATAGGTTGTTGATAATAGGGGGTGGCTATGTATGTTTGAGTCAGGGAGTTTATGGGAAATCTCTGTACCTTCCTCTCGTTCTGATGTGTCCTACTCAAGATACTGAGAACATATCCACCCCCTCACATTTTTCTCTATAGTTTCTTTCCAGTTTCTTGTCTCTAAATCGAGTGTCAGTCTTTTGGTAATTCTTCAGATTTGTATTTCTTGAAATAATGAGAAATACCTCCCTGCTTTTCCTTTTTTCTGTCTACTTTTGACACTGTAAGGGAAGAAGAAGATCCATGGAGATTTCATTTGTTTGAGAGGAGAAACAGACTTGAGCTCTGTTGAACATAACACATTGTTGGGGAAGAGGGAGGGTCTGGACCTGGGCTAGAAGAGGGCTGGAGGATTGAGCTCACTCTCCATTGCTGGTCTTTTCTCCCTTGGCCAGTGTTCCAGACAGTGTCAGGTGATCAAGAAAGGAAGAGGAGGACTGGGTGGAAGGATGGTGCAGTCTTAGATGGGTGTGAGGGAGGGGAGAGGAAGGAGGAATGTGGAGCTGTGGCTACCCACTGGGAGGAATGTGGAGCTGTGGCTACCCACTGGGGAAGGCTGCACATGAGGTGTGAGTACCTCATCTCTTTGTAATGAACACTCCTTTTACATTTGACCTTAGAAATGTGTCCACTGCTTATGGAGGTATGGACGTGACAGAGCAGAGTGCTGCAGTCACAAGGCAGGCTAACACTAGGTAGATGGTTGACACATGGTGCTTAGACCACCAATAACTTGTATTGATAACATCTTTTATGCTAAAATCCATAAAGGATATAAATAGCAAATTATACAAATGTCAAGATTGAATTTGTGTCTTGAAAGTTGGGAGTTACCTATGGTGTCTATTTTAGGAGTAGTGTATTATAAATTGATTTTTTTTTTCCTTTGCCCTGCAAAGTATAATGCCTTAGCAAATATGTTTTCTAGTCATGTGAAAGAAAAGTATTGTCACAGATGTCTGACATATAAGAAAATATTTAAGCATTTTTAGTACTTTTCCAAACTTTGATAGACTTCCATGAGCTTTAGAAAGCCATGTATAGGTTGTTGATAATAGGGGGTGGCTATGTATGTTTGAGTCAGGGAGTTTATGGGAAATCTCTGTACCTTCCTCTCAGTTTTGCTGTGAACCTAAAACTGCTCTAAAAATAGTCTTTAAAAAAAGTCATGTATTCATTTTTTTTATATAAAAGGACACATTCATTGCACATTGTTTTAACACAGTCTCTTGAATAAAGTAGAATGACTGAATCAGCTTACAAAGGGGAACGAGCTAATTTAAATAAGCCAGATGAAAGAAAACACTAGTAGTCATCTTAAACTTATAACGACTCTTCAAGTTCTATTTGTGGCCAACAAGAAAATGCATTCTGGTTTAGTTTCTTTTATCTTTTAGCTAATAAGTAAAAATAACATGTTTTTAGTATTCTCTCTTAAATTATACTATGAAAAATGTTATCAGAGTGGAAAATAGACACTTTTTCTTATTTTTCAGGTCATGTACGACATCCCTAAGGCAAATCAATAAAATTATTGAACAACTTAGTCCTCAAGCTGCCACCAACAGAGACATCAACAGGAAACTAGATTCTGTAAAACGGCAAAAGTATAATAAGGTGATTCCAAATAACACATTAAGTATTGTATTGCATTTTTGAAAAAGTCATCATTTAGGCTCATTTAATATTTAGGAAGCATTCTGAAAAGTACTTACAAGATGTAAAGCAAATATTTCTAATAGAAAATTTCAAATTCCTTTTTGTATGTTTAATTTTTCAGCTGTTTCCTTTTAACATCTGTTAAAGAGTATTTTTTATGCCAGTCTCTACTCAGTCTCCTTGTCTTATGAGAACTGTTTTTTTCTGCTTAGCTCCTGCTTGCACTGATTGTTTACATTCTATTTCCTATTGATGCAGCCATCACCCCTCACATACTTATGTGCACTGTTCTGAGAGGCTGGCCTTAGGTATTATAGTCATCACCTAGCCACACTGCATATGCACTTAGAGTTGTAGAATTTATGGGTAGAGAATATCTGTTACTTATGACATTGTTTTTATGAGGTTTGAAACACTTTTTAGAATTTATGTACGTTTTGTGAAAATACATTGCAGCAGGTAGGAATGACTAGTTTTGACATTTTACTACTAGATATCCTTGTGCTTGCAATTGTTTCATTGCCGTTAGAGTCCTTGCATCTTTCATTTAAGCTCTACTAGTTGGGGTGTGTATAGATTCAGTTCTATCTTTTGCTTTCTACTCACTGGTCCATTATATTTACCACCCCATCTTTTATCACTTACCTCCAGAATAGCAGCCTAAAAGTCACAACTAGCAGTGGCTTGAGGCAGCTTTGGTGTCTCCAAATCAGAGAGGATGGGGAGCATCTGGCCTCTTGTGGGAACATGTAAATTAATGTGCAGAGACCTTTTCTGCCTTTGGGTTTCTGGTAGGCTGGGGTTTCAAGGAGAATAGAGGATCAGACTTCAGGCTGCTTTAGGTAATAGGCCAGCTCAATTATATTTTCCTATCTTCCTTGAGTAGCTCTTTGATATTTAGAGATAGACTATTCAGAGAGAAAGGCTGTTTTAAATGAGATTTTGCTGAGAAAAATTGCAAGAGAAAACAAATTACAAATCATAGCATGGTCTTTATATTCAGGATTTCCCCTTGCCCCACACTCATATTTGGTATTTAAACATTCTTGACCTTAGGAGGAACCAGATATCAAGAGGCCTACTTATTTGGGGATGGCCCCATATCTGAGCTCTGGTGATATAGAGGGTGACAAGATGAAGAGTCTCGGATGAGTTGGGTAAAAGGATATGTCAGAAGATATTTTTGTTTTACATAAATTTTGTGATTGGGTAGAATACTATAAAGGACAATCAAAAATATGGTAGATTATCAAAGGGGACTGACTTTTTCAACCTTTGAACATTTGCGTTTCTGTTTCTTATCCCTACAGCCTATTAACCTTTTATAGCCCATTGGCCGCTAAGGTCAGAAACACCGAAGTATAGTGATTTACCTAGTTTTTAATGGGGGAACCAAATAGAGCAGCTCCACCTCCCAAATCAGCAGAGTCGGTACACGTGAACATCAGCGCTTGGCACATAGAAAACTGTGTGCTGCCCAGTCAGGAGAGCGGGCAGGGACAGCCTGATGGAAATGCTTTGAGGCCTACTTCCTTCTCGAAAAGTGGCAGTTGCTCATACAAGGTTCTCTGTAGTAACAGTAATATATGGAATTTCTGTTTTATTTTGCTCTTGATTAAAGTTTTTAAATTTTGTAATGTTGTCTTTTGTATTTAACAATAAATCACTTCATTGCTGTTTTCTGTGTTTAATATTTACCATTTAAGGAACAACAGCTAAAGAAGATCACAGCAAAACAAAAACGTCTCCAGGCCATTCTTGGAGGAGTGGAGATAAAAGTTGAAATAGATCATGCCAGTCTGGAGGAGGATGCAGGTGAGGATAGTGGGAACAGTGTCTCTGTGTTCTTGAATTGATGCCTGATGCCTGTAGTCAGTGGAGGGTGTCTCTTCAGTCCTGGCGTGAGTTTTGAGAAAAATATATTTTTTTGCCTTAGTGTTATACTGATTTAGGAAAATTTTATTCTCTACACTTGTAGAATCAAATCTCTTTTTAAGTCACATGGGGTTTTTAGAGAATGAAAGCAAATTTTTAACTCAGTCTACTATTGGCAGCTAGTGCACATTTATTATTATGTTTAATAAATTAGAAATTTTAACATTCTTATATGGTTAATTTCTTAAAGACAACATCTTGCTTGAATTACATTTTGTAAGCTCAGCATCATCAGTCAGCATTCATAGAATTGCTTTCACATATCTTTTTGAGACATTAGGCAGACTTTCCAAGTATCAATTTTTTGTTTAAGAAAAGACACTTTCATTCCGGTTATACCATGACCATGATTTTGTTGGTATCACCTCCTTGGATGGGCATCTTTTGGAAGACCTTTTGGGAAAATGCATAAGCTCTGAAATAAAATATCTCTACACTATGTATGTATATGTATGTTTAGAAATTGTTGGTAGCTGTTTAGTTGTTTATTACTTGAAAGATAGATTAAGGCTTCTTAGCATTTAAGCTCTTCAAGCAAATATTTTCTACTAGCTCCAGAAATTTATTCAATAAGACAAGAGAATTATGAAGAATTAATTGAGCAATAGAAAAAAATAATAGATGTGCTTTTAAAGTTCAGTCTTTCAGAATTTGTTGGACGTATGGCCAGTGCTTTCTGCTACTGAGGTACATATTTCTCACTGGTAACAGATATTTGTTCATGTTGGGCTGCCTAAACTAGCTGATAACTTTCACCTCCTACTGCTTCTTTGGTAAAACTTTGCCCAAGATTAATAGTTACTTCCCCAAATCCAAAAGCCTCTTTTTACTCTTACTCCACTTGGCCTGTGAAATATCAGCAACTGAAATATCAGCAACTGATATTTCTGTGCCTTCCAGGAGCCTTTTCTCTCCTGATTTTCCTTTTGGCCTTCTGACCATTTCTGTTTAGTTATTTTTGACAGGGTTTTATGGCTTTATTTTAAATGTTGATTGTTCTGAGGATTTCTTGCTGATCCCTTTTTTTTGTATCTCTTCCCCAAATAATCTCATCCACTCCTCGTAGCTTTTGGGGGCACCTGGGTTCTAGTATCTTACAAATCTGTAGACCTTTTTCTGTTCTCCTAGTTCCTGTTATATTTCTCCATTGGAGGCGTCAGCCAGCACTTCAGACTCATGGTCTCTCTATTTTCCTCCCTCCTTTGCCCTTCTGGATCTCTGGTGCCCTGTGCCCTATTTGGAGAGGTAGTGGAACAGAGTGTCTAGGAGTCCAGGCTTTGTGCACACCAGCTCTGCATTGCCAAAGTGTACACCTTGGTGCATTTCTTAGCCGTTCCATATTTGTTTTGAACTCGTGATGTAGGCATAAGTATGATAGACCTTCATTTCTCTACTCATGTACTCCCCTGAGGTTTCTTTTCCCCTGTTCTCCACATAGTGATCCATTTCAGAGATTGTTGTGAGGATTATCTGATAAAAAATCCTTTCCTGGAAGTAGGTGGGGTACACTTCGCAACACTTGGCTTTGCTCCTCTGCTCTGGGATGAAGTGACATGCTCATCTCCTTTTCTGTTAAACATTGTACTGGACAATGTAGTAATGGAAGAAAAATAAAAAGCATAACAATTGAAATGAAGAAATAAAACCATTAATATTCACAGAATACATGGTTGTTTATGTAGAAAAGCCAAAAGAATCAATGGATAATCTGTTGGAATTAATATGTGAATTTGGCAATATCTCTGAATATAAATAAGTCCAATATATAAAAATCAGTCATATTTCTATATACCAGCAAAAACAAAAAATTTAATAAAGATACCACTTACAATCAAATACCTAGAAGTAAATCTTAGCAAAAAATGTTTCCTACAGTGTTTTCTATATTAAAAACTAGAAAATGTTATTTAAAAATTAAAGAAGACTTAAATAAATGGGAAAAAACACACCATGGTAATGGATCAGGAGATACGATATTACAATGATATCAGTTCTATCCATTTGCAGTTTCAGTGCACTTCAGTATAAATTTTAGGGGGGTTTTTGAGGGAGAAGGTGTGGAGTGAGAAGTGTAGGAGGCATTAAACAGACTTACTCTAAAATTTATATAAAAATGCATTGGGCCAAGAATAGATAAGGCAATCTTAAAGAACGAAGTATCCAGACCAATTATCAAGCTATAGTAATTAAGTCACTGAGTAATGGCACAGTGATGGATTGACCAGTGGAACAGAATAGAGGGTCTAGCAAACAGACCCATCTATATATGGTCACTTGATTTATGACAGATGTGGCAGTGCAGTGCTGTGGAGAAGAAACATCTTTTTAATAAGTGTGCTGGGTTAATCCCCATAAAGATAAAATGAACCTTGGCCCATTATACCATGTACAAAAATAAATGCCAAATGGATTGTAGATCTGAATGTGAGTGTTAAAACAAAACTTTTACAAAACTTTTAACAGGAAAACATTTTCATGATTTTGGGCAAAGACTTAATGAGACACAAAAATGCTCACTGTAAAGGAAAAGTTCTGATAAATGAACTCTATTACAACTAAGAAATTTTGTCTATCAAAAGATAACATTGAGAGAGTGAAAGGCAAGCTGCAGAGATGGGGAAGACATTTCCAATACAAGTATCAATCAAAGGACTTGAACCCAGAATATCTAAAGAACTCTTAGAAGTGTCTCTTTTTTTTTTTAGGCAGATATCCTATGAGAAAAATGGGCAAAAGACTTGAACATTTTCTTCAAAAGAGGCTATCCAAAAGATCAATAAATCCATGAAAAGTTACCATAGTTCATCAGTCATCAGGGAAATACAAATTTCACCATGCAGTAGTAATGCTACATGCCTACCAGAATAGGTAAAATGGAATGGCAAGAATGTGGACTAATTGAAACTCAAACATTGTTGGTGGAACTTAAAGTTGATAGGACCATTTTGGAAAACTGTCTGGCATGTCTACTAAAGCTTAACATATCCAAAGAATTATATGCATATATTATCAAACAATGTATACTAGAATATTCATAGCAACATTATTTCTAGTAGCCAAAACCTGGAAGCTACCCAAATGTCCATTACCTGTGGATTGGATGAAAGACTGTAGGATAGTTATGTAATAGAATATGATAGCAATGAGAATCAAAACTGTAACTATATTCAGTAAGTGTGATTCTTATAAACATAAGGTTGAGCAGAAGAAGCCAGACATAAGAATATGAACATTTCCATTTAATAAAGTTCAAAGTCAAGTATAACTTGTTTATACTGTTAATAAGTTATCTTGCAGTGGGATGTAGGCTTGGTGGCACCAAGAAGGGCACATCTGAGGTGCTAGTAATTTCTGATTCTTGATCTAGATGCTGGTGTATGGATGTGTTTTTTTCTGAAAATTCTTTGAGGTGTATATTTAGGATTTGTGTACTTTCTGATGAAATTATTTTTCATTGCAAGTTTAATGAGAAATTGGCTGGTAGTATTGGCCTAGAAGAAATGTAGATTTTAGAATATGGATTCCTTCCTGTTAAGCCTTACTTCTTTTGGTATTTTGGCAATGTACCAGTAAAGTAATCTTGCCAGAAATTAATTTCAGTTAATAAAAGAGGGGTGATTCATGGGTAACTTTATATTATTATGCCATAACTTCCAATTTTAGTACATCTCTTTAGCTGGTTAACTTCACACACCTAACATTGTTCTGTCCAAAAGACCTTTTTGCAATGATGGGGATGTTGTCTGTCTGTGTTGTCCATTATGGTAACCATTAGCCCCACATGGCTACTGAGCACTTGATATATGGCAGGTGTAACTCAGGAACTGAATTTTCAACTTAGATTTAAATAGCCACATGGTAACTATTATATTAAACAGTGGAGATTTAACATTTATATTTTACTTATTAGGGGCATGCTGATTCTTTAGCTGTCTCTTTTCTGTTTTTACTGTGTCTCGATTTAAGCCCACCTAAATGCTGGTATTAGCAATGACATGGAAACTTGGAAGATTGCTTCCTCCCAGGTTACTCTTGAATTGACGAGGAAACAGCTAAATTTATCTGTCTGTTTGTATGTTACATATGATTAGGTCTGTCTTTGGATGCACAGAGAGTATATTTATAATGCCATATCTTGGGAAAAGTTATTGAGAAATCACCTTTGTGAACAGGGGTATATTAAAGGTGGCATGATGAATGTTATAATAAAGTTTACTTTAATCTTTATAGATAATATGCTTTAGTACAATATTTTTTTAATATGACTTATTTGTAAGTATCTACTATTGAACAAGTGAATACATCTGTTGTACTCCTGGAAAGTTTTATGCTAGTGCCCAATGCATTGTCGTCCCTCTTTCAGAAGCAGGGCCGTCCTGTCTTGGCAGCATGCTCATGCCTGTTCAGGAGACTGCTTGGGAAGAGCTCATTCGCACTGGCCAGATGACACCTTTTGGCACCCAGATTCCTCAGAAACAGGAGAAAAAGCCTAGAAAACTAATGCTCAACGAAGCATCAGGCTTTGAAAAGTATTTGGCAGATCAAGAAAAACTATCTTTTGAAAGGAAGAAGCAAGCTTGTAATAAAAGGGCAGCTAGAAAAACTCCAGCCTTGGTCAATTCTAAGCTGAGCCCAACACTCAATGAAAAGAAACCAAATAGGAGAAGCAAAGTTCTCTCAAAAACAGACAAGCGCTTGAAAAAACACGTCAAGAAACTCCAGAAGAGAGCTCTTCAGTTCCAGGGGAAATTGAGACTGCCGATGGGAAAGAAACCCTTGGAGTCTAATGTGAAGCCAATGGCAGAAGGAGACTCTGAGGGTGAAGAGTCTGAGTACATACCCACAGGGGAGGAGGAGCAGGAGGAGGCAGCAGGGGCTGATCTGTCAGGAGAAGGCACTGAGTCTGAACTAGGATCTGTGCTCAAGCACTGTAAATGGCAGAAGAAAGGCATAGCACAAGAGGTGGATGACGACTTTTTTTCAAGTTCTGGGGAAGAAGATGAAACCATCACAGGAGGAAGAGGACGAGGAAGTCGGAAAGTAGTGAGATGCCGAGACGATGGAGATGAAGATTATTATAAGCAACGGTTAAGGTCAGTCTGCAGAGATTATAAACAGATTGCTTGCTTTATTTTAGGCTGTAGGTTTATGAATAAGAGTTCTAGATCCAGCTTAATATATTAGACCCCTGTTTATCCAAAGGTTGGACTTCCTGCAGCCTTAGCCTGCTAGAACCAGCAGAGCCCTGAGTATTCTGTGGAGCTCACCCCAAATGCTTCTACTTCTGGGTCTTCACTCCAGTTTGGAGGCAAGTCTAAGAAGAAAAGCCTAGGGGAAGGGCTGGGGCAAGAGACAATGCAGAAACCTGAAGCAGGAGCTGTGTGCCTTTTACCGAGTGGTTGCCTTGCGACAGAATCAGGAGAAGGAAAAGGTTGGCTTACATAGTGTATATTTGGTGGTTTGTTTTTTTTCTTTTGAGGAAGGAAAGTAATTTTAGAGGACTTTCCTTCAAATAAGAGCTGAAATTTAAGCTTTAACATACCAAAGAATAAGCTTGCTTTCTTAATTCCTCCCTCCTTGTCTTGAAATAGTAGTTATCTACAGAATTATAAACCGCGTTGTACCAGAAATGTACTTTGTATACACAGCATACCTTTCTTGTTCAGTCATTTTTTTATGCTAGCGACTTACTTTGTCTTTTATTTCCATGACTTTGTCAGTATATGATGCAAGTAAGCTAGAAGAAAAAAGGGAAGGTGAATGCGTTTGCTCGTAGTCAGTATTGCATGTTGCCACACATTTTCTGTGAGCCAAAAACAGTGTATGCTGCAGGTTTCTCCATTGCTGTGTCTCCAGTCTCACACTTCAGCTTACTAAGAGTGCTAAGAAGCTTACAGGAATAAAGGAATCCATTTAACAGATTACTTTTTAAATATTTTCTCCCAGGACGGCTTTTTCCCAGTCCTCAACAGGTTTTTCTTGTTTCTCAATGTAGAGAGACCTAGTTTATTGTATTTCTTGTAGCTTTCCACTGGCTTTCATGAAGGAAGATTGACCTGATGTTATTTTCTTGTTATTGAGAACTGCTGATCACTTACATCCAGACTGCCATATACATTCCATAACCCTTTAAAGGAGATGCAGCATAGTTCTTTTCAGGAATAATTTGAGGACCTGTGACCTAAATCCAGTTGTCTAGAGCTGTTACACTCACATTGTAGTAGTACCTTACATAGTGATACATAGTTGAAGAGGTTTAAATTTGTCACTTCTCATTGCAGCTTTAAAGTTATTTTGCACATCTGAAATTTTTGAGGGATATTGCTCAATACTCTTTTGAACAGTGAGCAGTGTCAGTCTTTATCTTAAACACTGCAGAGAATTAATAAAAGTGTTAAGTTGAACGTATTGATTATAAATGGAGCAATATATTCTTCCCATTAAATTGGGTCAATATTAAGTATATTTTAAATATATCAGAATTTTGATCAAGAGCAATTTATTTTGATTGAATTTTAAATATGGGTATAGTTTAAATTCTAAGTTTTTCTTAATAATGTTACCATTGTAAAACTATTATTTCCAAAGCCATATCATAAGTCAATTTTTTCTAAAGTTATAGTTAAATCTCTAATGAATTTCAAAAATATCAATAACTCTAATTGCCAACAAAATACTATAGCTCTTAAAATTTTATAGCTACAGTTATTAAGGCTATTAAACTGCACATATCCATATTGAAATGCTTATACTACATCTGTGGTACTCTTTGGATTGGGGGATGTTTAAAGAAAAGAAAATGCTCAGAATTGAGAAACGTATTAAGAACTTTTTAGAACTGCCAGTCACTCTATATTTTATTATTTCTTGTTGCTGATCCTTGTAGACGTTGCAGAAGACTTAAGGATTTCTTAGCAATGGTTTGATGATAGATGATCAGAATAAAGCCCCATACAGTTTACAACATAGAAAATGAGTTTTTCCTGATGGTTAGCATTTAGGAATATGTACCCAGGCTAGGCATCTTTTTTGAACTTAAATATGTGTTAGTTAAAGCTGTTAATAATAATGCTCTTCTAAACTCATAGAAGTGAAAGTGAGTGACTCTTAGACATCTTAGCCCCTTATTCTCTCAACTTGAGAGCCATAGATCTTTCATTAGCTCTAGGTTAGTCCTAACTAGGTATCTTTATTTTTAGCTGATGCTCACTGGGAATTTCCTACCAAGTCTCTACAGCTTAACCTTTTCTGGAACTGGATAATAGCACTTATGATCCTACTTTCTGATTTAGCCCAAGACCTCAGATTAGTCTTTGAAGTTTTAACCGTTTCTTAAATTGCCCATGTATTTTGCCTTTCCCACATTTTTATCCTGCTTCTTTCTCTGTACCAAATTGCATTTAGAGACTCTCCTCATTGGTGTTCTCTGATTTTCATATATCTGATAATGTACCAGGATGGGTAAGCCACTTCTTAGAAGTAAATATTCTGTGAGTTCTTAAATGTGAGTGGTATGCAGATCTTACAACATATCCATTGTTTTTTAATTTTAATTTTGTGGTACCAAAGTTTCCATTAGGGCTCTTAGGAAAGAGGTTTAGCTCTTAAAATATATCGCTGCTTTGGAAAGCTTAGGTCTGGGAGTTCCAGGAGCCAAGTAAAGACTTAATAGAAATAACATACTTCCACTGTTTGTGTCCCTGATGAGCACTTACATGTTGCTTATCTTGTTCAGTTTGTACAGCCAGGACAGCCCAGAGTGGCCTAGAAGACCAAACATTCCATATGTGCACCTTTTCCCTCAAGATGATCAAAGGTCAGCAGTCCTTGCTACCTCTGATGTTGAGTCACTTCCCAGTTGAGATATATCAATGGCCATTGTTTCGTCTTTGCTCTCACTGTGTGAATGTGTGTCTCCGTTCTAGGACTGGCTTCTGGAGTCCCCAGCAAAGAACTTGCAGTCTTTTAGGGGACATGGATACAGATAGGACCTAGCCAGTGTGAAGGGAATAATGAATTCACACTGGGTATTTGGAGAAGACTTTGTGGAGAAGGTTCATCCCAGTACAGGGCCTCATCTGTTGGCTAGTTCAGATATGTTGATATGGACCTTAAGATGCAGGTTAAACACTTGCCACATTTGCCCCAAACGTCAGGTGCATCATTGGAAAGGAAAATTCTTGTTTTGCTTGGAAACGTTATTTCCTCAGGAGTCTCATTTGGATTGCCTTAGATATTTGTGTGGTGGCTGTGTTCTATAGAGGCCTGGTTCTAAGCTGTCTACCCCAGGACAAGGAGGGCACAAGCCGTTGCCTTATCAGCCAGCTCCCATCTTGGGCAGTGGTAGTCTGTTCAGGGGTAGACGGAGGCCCTGTTTGGGTTCTGGGAAAGAG